TGATAATTTATTATTCAAGCATCAGGTTCATCCTTCTCACTAAAAAGATTGACTTATTGCTTATGTTATTTTATTTATAGTTTATTTTGTTTATTGGTATCTGACCAATAAATACCCGCATTGAGAATAAGTGCCCACATTGATGTTTTTAAAGAACCCCCCTTTATAGAAAATATTTTTTTTTAATTATTCTGAAAATTCAAGGATAGGTACACACTAAAATTCGTTAATTTTTTGCCTATTTTTAGATAACTTAAACGTATAAGAAGCGGAATTTAATCAAACTAACAGTGAAATTATTGTAGAACATACGTTTATGTTATAATTAATAAACGAACTCGCTTATTGTACTATTTTAAGTAAAAAACTTTTTTTTTATTATTTTTCACTTTTTTTTATTTTTACCCTCTTATTTTTTGTCAATGCGGGCACTTATTGGTCAGACACCTGTTTATTTAATGTTACGTATATTTTACATAACAGATACAAAATTTTATTTTGAGTAGTTTTGATTTAAATTCAATTAACAAATGTATAAATTAACATGTGTTTTTACTTTAAGTTTTTAACACTAAACTTCACTACAGTTAGAAATTTACAGGAAATCAATATCAGGTAAATAGGGGGTCTACTCAACACGAAAAAACATGGCAAGGGGTCTACGACACAAAAAAGTTTGGGGAACTCTGATCTAGACCCACAAAGCTTCATCGTTATCACTTTCATCCGATTTATCAAAGAAGGCTGTTTCTTTATGAGTGCCGCTTGTACTCGTTGAAGCTGCTCACAATACAAGTTAGGAGTGATGGTTTGACATTTTCCAGAAACTCATAATGGACAATTCTAGTTGCTGTCCATGAAAAGCACAGCAAAGCCTTGTTTGGGTGCAAGGAAGCCTTGGGCGTGTGTGGTTACCGAATCAGTAGGCGACAACCAATGATACGAACGCTTATAATTCGAATACAAGATCCATTTTTCGTCGCAGGTTGATAACCGATTAAGAAATGGTTTATTATGTTGCGTGAAATGTTTACTGAACAAATGGTAAGACGACTTAATTTGTTATCATTTGTCAGTTCATGTGGGACCCATTTGCTTAACTTCCACGTCTTTCCTAGCTGATGAAGATGCAAACGAATAGTTTCAGGACTCACTCTGAACATTTCTGCAAGTTCTTTGCACGTTGTCCTGGAATTTGCGTCCACAACCTGTCGAAAATCCTCGGTGTTCATGAACGCGGTGCATCGCTCAAACTGAGATCTCCCGAAGAAAATTGTTCGACCGCTGACTTCATCATTTCCGAATGCGGTACATATTTTCCGCGCCGCCGCTGCAGCTTCTGTACCAAATTTGTACTCATACTCATATACAGGGTGACTTCGAAGTTGAGTCATTTATTTTAACAGTGAGTAGATCTGATCAAAAGAAATGTTTTTTTCCTTTACCATTTTTCTGGTAAAATTAAAGTAACAAAGTTATAGCCCTTTGGAAGTTTGAGTACCGCCCTGTCTCAATAATAATATTATGTGCTCGTGTTTGGCAACAACGGATATAATCCGCCTTATCGGTTCATCGCATCGGAAACAATAAAGCGAAAGAATTTGGAACGATGTTTTTACAATTATTTTATTCAGTTGTATACAGTCAGTGTCAGTCGGTAACGCGTGAGTGAATAGTGGTGTCTGTTGCGTGGCTCAAACGAACTCAAAAATGGCACATGTTTACGAAAATGCTGAACTTGCGGACATGATTCTTATTTACGCGGCATCACGGATTTATGCGGATCGGTTTCCCAATCGAGTGCAAATAACCCCTCGTGCCTTTGTTAATGTAGTACAAAGGGCTCGTGAATCAGGTGACTTAAGACCTCACAGGGGAGGGCATGCCGGTGCTCCAAGACCGCACGATCAAATACAGGTCCGCACTGAAATACTTGTCGGGAGGATACTTTATAAAACAAGGTAAAAATTATTTTAAATTTTTTTTTTATTTTTACACACATATTTTGGTTTATCTTCCTTCTACAATCATTATCTGAAAATTAATGACTCAACTTCAAAGTCACCCTGTATAATTTGTATGTTAAGGCTGCTACACACAGTGCCGCCGGGCAAGCCACCGGCAGTATATAACGGAAGAAAGTCATTTAAAACTACCTACCGTGTTGTTTTATTTCCATATGCAAAACTTAATCGTAGTACGAATGTAAAACCATCACCATGGAAATCACTGAAAGGTGATTGAAAACAAAATTCACACTATCATTGGGATCTCATCATCCGCCGTAATAGGAATTTCTTTTCCTTTTGAATATCGTTATGTTTTTGTATAGGACTTCTTTCTAGGGATGTTTTTCGATTACTTCTCTTAATTTGTATTGTACGTAAACCCACAATACAGTTTTACTTCAGTTATGTCTCATTTGATGAACTAACCGTGCTTTGATTGTTCGATAAGTGCGTTTCCGTTTATTTATAAAACTTCAGAAGGTACCAGTCATCTGTACATCTCATTATTAAGAAATGTAAGGCTCAACGAACAACATCCAATAAAAAAAAAACTTCCACTGACGACTTAAGCATAATTTAGCGAAAAGTAATCGCAATAGATGCATGACTGCATCCGAAATAGCAGCGGACTTGAATTTGAGCCGTAAACCTGTAAGTGTGACAGTTAAGAGGAGGTTCCGACGCTGGACTTAAGGGATGCATGGCAGTATCAAAATCACTCCTCAGGGCGACTAACAACAAAAGAGGGCCAAAAACATCAAAATTGGAAAGTTGCTGATTGGAACAAGGTCCTCTGGAGATCGAAATTTGAAGTTTTTGGTTCCAAGATAAGAGTATTTGTCCATCTTCGAGAGGGCATTAGAATCATGCACCGTCGCTTCAGTCTGTTTCAGGCTGTTTTGGTGAATAAAGAAGGGTAGAAAGTCATACTACAAAATCATATGGCACTCGTCTTATTGGTCCGGGGTTTGTCGTTCGGGATCATAATGATCCCAAACACACATCCAAGCTCTGTAAACAATTTTTGGAAGCAAAACAAGAACAAAATCTGTTGAAAGTCATGGAATGGCCTCCCCAATCCCGGATTTCAATCCGCTAGAGTTGCTGGACAGACAAGTACGGAAAAGTTGTACTACATTTCACCTTTGGAGAGTATTATAAGATGAATGACGAAAAGAAAATCAGTTGCGCGTTTACCCAGCATTTACCAGGCTGTAACTAAAAGTAAACGAGGACATGCTGATGAGTCAAAAATATGATTATTTTGATTATAAATAGTTGTATGTTGTTAAGAATTAAGAAAATAAATGTTTCATACAGATATTGTAATGTTTTCTTTAATATACTAAGTGACATATAAATCCGAACACCCAGTTTAAATGGTTTTATTTTAATAAAAGTTGGTGAATGTATTTATCTTACTATAAATAACAAGTGAAAAAATTTTCAGCCTTATCAGTTGGACATTCCGGTTTTTATACTGCTTTTTTTTAATTCACTAACGCTCTAAAAATGAATATTTCAGCCGCAGTAAAGAATCAACGTTGGCGGATTTTGGTTCTTGACATCCTTTACGATCGGTTACGATGCCTAGAGTACGGAGACCTGTACGATTTCGTCAACTTAGTGAGTTTGATAGGGGCCGTATAGTGGGACTTCGGAAGCTGAACTTTCTGTTCGGGCAATTGCAGTTAGAGTGCAAAGAAGTGTAGACACTGTGGTTAGGTGTTGTCAGGCATGGCTTCGAGAAGGCCGTACGCAAAGAGCAAGGGGCACTGGACGCCGCCGTAGAACAACAGACCCTGAAGATCGCCGCCTAAGATTATTAGCCTTAAGGGACCGTTTCTCCACTACCAGGTCCATTGCAAATGAATGGTTTGCAAAACACGGAAGACCTATTGGCATGCGAAGTGTTTACCGACGAATGAGAAGTTTTGGCTTGTTTTCATACCGGCCACACTGGGTCCTCCCTTTAACTCGAGAACAGCGACGTAATCGCCTTGAGTGGTGCAGACAACGGTCACTCTGGGATCAGGAATGGAACAGTATTGTCTTTAGTGACGAGTCTCGATTTTGTTTAGGCATGCACGATGGTCGTGCCAGGGTTAGAAGGCGACGTGGTGAAAGGAGGAATCCACAGTTTTTTGTTGAAAGACATGTTCATCACACTGTTGGAGTTATGGTTTGGGGTGCTATAGCTTATGGTTCCAGGTCACCTTTAATCTTCATCAGAGGTAACATGAACGCGCAGCGTTATATCCACGAAGTTCTGGAACCCCATCTTTTACCCTATCTTGACACCCTGGCAGATCCAACTTTCCAACAAGATAATGCCCGACCACATGTTGCAAGAGTCACAATAGACTTCTTTCAACATAATGATGTCACATTGTTACCATGGCCACCAAGATCTCCCGACTTATCCCCAATTGAGCACGTGTGGGATATGATGGGTAGAAGATTGCTCAATTTGCAATGTCCTCCTCAGACTCTAGAAGCACTTCGAGAGGAGTTGGTGGTTGCCTGGAATGAGATACCACAGGAGGACATTGACCACCTGATCAGAAGCATGCCTAGGCGCGTTGGAGAATGCGTAGCACATCAGGGTGCATCCACACATTATTAAAGGTCAAAGGGCTTTAAAGCAGTGCAATCATTTTGATATTTTCATCATTTACTTATTATGCTTCATTAAGTACTTATACAAAATTTTATTAAAATAAAACCATTTAAACTGGGTGTTCGGATTTATATGTCACTTAGTATAACTTCCACCAGATTCCTTGTTTTCTGGGTATTCAAATATTTTTGAACGTATACGCAAACAGTATGAGAAATCTCGGTTTCCATGGAAGCCGAACAAAATCTGGAAGCAGGTAAACATCCCCTCGCGTCATCTCTCCAGGAACTACCCCGTATAAATCCCGAAAAAGTGCGTGACTGTAACCAATCCGATACGTATATATGCAAATCTCCCTCCGCCCTTTCTTAATGTTTTTCCGTTTGTTGAGGGTGGGAGGCCACTCTCCGTCCGCGTCCTTGCTTGCAGGTGGTCAGTATACCGACCACCACGACCCCTACGACGTCACATCATTTCGAACAGTGACGAGAATGCCGCGATCAGCGTCACACGGCGTGATGAACATCAAGACGTGCCTCGCGTTGTCATTGCCGATGCTGTTGACGTTCGCTTGTTTCAATGACGCGTTCGGACTCACCACTTTCGGCATATCGCCCAATCAGAACCCGAAGAATCAGAGGAACCAACCGCCTGGTGAGTAGCAGCTCATTGGAAACGATTTAATGAACGTCGCAACTCACAAGTTAATTCAATTCAATTCTTTATTTGTGTTATGTCCAAAGAAAAAAAAAGTAGAGAAAGAAGTCTGAATAATGACTTCAGTATTCTACAGAAGACATATCAACTCATGTTACGATAAATTATCATTCAATAAAAACGCAGACATAATAAGCCGTACAAGTTGAAAAAACAACAGGAAACCATGGAAGTCTAGCATTGACTTATACCTTATTATTAGCGTCTTGAGAAGAATCATTACGTGACCATGAAGTTGGACACTCGTCGAGAAAACTGTCATCAATTTTGAGTCGGCTGAGCAAGGACCTGCTTTTGATTGGAACAAAATCATCGATATTTTTATCTGAAAGCATTTCTGTATTACGTTTCTGTTCGAGAAGCACGCAATTTGTATTTGAAACGGTAGTATCGCAACAGATAATCGGAAATTTATCTTCGTTAGGCGCGATTGTCTACGCCGAATTCGTAGAATTGGACTGTGGTGACGCAGCATTTGGAACGCCATTCTTAAATATCACCAAAATCTTCTCCCAAAGTTTCTAACCAACTAGGAGAAGCGCAATAGTAAAAAGTCCGATAATCTTTTCTCGTATGAGATTTTTACTAGCTCACCTTTAGAACTCGTGAAACTAGTACCACACCACAAAAACCATTGCAAGCTTGGTAGAAAGACAAAGAATCTTACTGGTAACAATTGAATGCTTGACAGCATTGTTTTTAAAAAATAAACATTTAGCTATACGAGAACGTTCTTCCCAGCTTTTAACTCGACACGCTACTGACTTTCAGCTTTTTCCGCAATGAGGTAATCAATGACGCAACTTCTATTTCTTACACTCTTTGTTTATTTTGATTCCGAACTGATTACCCCTCTACTATTCCTCATTGGGTATTTAGGTGGCAATCTTTACAGATGTTGGTATCTGCAGATACGAGGGACGTTTTTTAAGTAAGAACCTTTTTGTAATCGAGTCAGAGAAACGTAATAATAGTGACTAGCGTCTCTAATTCTGCGCTGTGGGCTCACCGGCGGGCGTGTTAGTCTATATAAGTGTCCTATCATTACATCGTTGAAATATTCCTGGAGTGTTTTTTATTCTATCGCAAGCTGCAACTATTATTTCTCTTAATTGCTCTACAGTGTAAACTAGTGTCTTAAGATAGAACCACAAAAAGAAATCTAAACTGTTGAGGTTTGGGGACCTTGGTGGCCATTCTTGGGGCCCACCGCGGCCAATCCAACGATTTGGAGAAACAGTTTGTAATTAATTACGAACCGCTACACTGACATGCGCTGGTGCACCATCATGCATGTACCACATATCGTTTCTTATCAGTAACGGAACATCATCAAGCAGGTTGAAGAAAATTGAGGGAAGTCTGGGCGTCAAGTCGTCCCGGCAAGAAGAATGGGCCAATAAAGTGGTTGCCAATAATTCCTGCCCATACGTTAACCGAAAGTTGGTGTTGGAAATGGGATTTTCTTCTGTCCACAAATGATTATTGAGAAAATTCTGAATGGCATTTGTCGTCGATGAATATTAGAAAAGGTTCGACTGTCTGGTAGAGCACGATCGGGATATCTCTGGTGATAAATCCGTCTGGCTTGCTCACCATTACCGTCGACAAAGCCATATACGTAATGCATTTCCGCCATTTGAGCATTTGAATAATTCACAAGATTGTAAAAACTAATTGATGAAAAAGATGTCACAACGACAGATTTTAATAACGGAGATTTGTCAAACGTCAAAAGCCTGATATATTCCAGAGCAACTGGATATTTATACTTCAATTAAACATTAATTTTCTCGGGCAATAGAAAGTTTTTTATTTTTTTTCTCTCAAAAAAGGTGCATTGAAGGAAAACAATTCAAGATACATCATAAAAAATAATTTTTATTTGGAAAAAACTATTGGCGTACCATTTTTTTTTTAAATATCGAAGTCAATACCCGTTCGCTCGCAACTGTTAAAGCTACAAATTATTTTTGCATTGAAAAATATGCAACTTCATTAACTTTCACTACGTACTAAATACACTGATCAACAGCCAAAAAATATCCTAAATAAAATCAACAAAATATTACTATTTTTAATGTGCTAAAACCGGAATGAAACTTATTTTTTCAATATTAGTTCAAGTTTTAGAGATACGGTAATTATATGTGTTCCTGCTGTGACAGTGTTAATATGCTGTAATTCACAAGAATGCACGTGCTACATTTTTATATTCGGCAAGGAAAGATGATGTAATCGGCATGATTGTGTTACGTTATACATACGTGTACATTATATTGTTTTATATTAGCCATTTTTTCCTCAGTTGGCTGACAGCGTTCATGCAAGATGTCTCGAAAGTGTGTAAACAATCCAGATCAGTTTTATTACGTGTGTGGTGATGTGACTTCTGCGTCTCAGAGACGGTCTATTACTCCACTAATAACAAAGGCATATCAGCTTTATTTCGGTTGTAAACTAGGTGATCAAGACAAATAGTGGGCACTTCACATCTGCTGTAATACATGTGCTTCAAGTCTGAGGAGCTGGTTAAATGGCAAAAAACGGTCTATGCGCTTTGCTGTCCCAATGGTTTGGAGAGAGCCTACAAATCATATTAATGATTGTTACTTTTGCATGGTACCTTGTGTTGGACAAGCCACAGGTATGTCCAAGAAAAAAAAATCGGTTATTAACTACCCAAACATACCATCTGCGATGAGACCTGTGCCTCACAGTGACGAAAATCCTATTCCAAAACCCCCAGAATCCTACACTTGCGAATCAGAAAACGAATCAGATCATGGCGATCGAGTGATTCGTCAGGAAGAAGATATGCCATCAACGTCAAGAGATCCTGATTTTATACCGAGCACGTCATGCCACCAACCGCACAAAATAACACAGTCAGAATTAAATGATCTTGTAAGAGATAACGGCTTACTGGCGGCTTTAAATATAAACTATAACCCAGAAGAATGGAGATTGTTTATAGACAGTTCAACATTGAGTTTAAAGGCAGTGTTATTGCATATTGGAAATATTTTACCATCTCTTCCTGTAGGGTATGCAGTTCACATGAAAGAATCATATGACAATATGAAGTACCTATTGACATGCATAATACGATGAGCACCAATGGCATATTTGTGGTGATTTGAAAGTTGTTGCACTTTTACTTGGGGTGCAGCTAGGCTACACAAAGTTTTGCTGTTTTTTGTGTGAATGGGACAGTCGGGCAAAGGCACTTCATTACACCAGACAAAACTGGCCTGTTCGTCAATTCCTAGAGCCAGGTCAAAAACATGTACAGCATATGCCATTAGTAGATTCGAAAAAAAAAATTATTACCACCACTGCATATCAAGTTGGGCCTAATGAAAAACTTTGTCAAGGCATTAGATAGAGATGGGTCAGTTTTTCAATACCTGCGTCAGAAATTTCCAAGACTAAGTGAGGCAAAGGTTAAAGAAGGTATTTTTGTTGGGCCACAGATTCGAAATATTTTGAAAGATACACAGTTTGAAAACACTTTAACAGGTATTGAAAAACTGCTTGGAATGATTTCCGTCTGGTGGTCACTAATTTCTTGGGAAATAGAAAAGCTGACAACTATAAAACCCTTGTCAAAAATATGCTGTCATCGTATCAAAAGATGGGCTGTAATATGTCTCTAGATACATTTCCTACACTCACACCTGGACTTTTTTCCTGACAACTGCGGAGCCGTAAGTGATGAGCACGGCGAACGTTTTCATCAGGATATTTCAACAATGGAAAAAAGGTACCAGGGAAAGTGGAATCCTTCCATGCTTGCAGACTACTGTTGGACTCTTGGTAGAGATGCTCCAGAAACGATCCATAAAAGAACAGCAAAAAGACAGCGCATATAGTGATTCTTATATGAATCTTGTTACTTTTTTTAATATATCCTTAAAAATAAAAAGTTTTTTTTCTAAACCGCAACTAATTTTTTTATTCCATTGTCATTTTTGGATTCAGCGCCCCAAAATTAACAAAGAAGTGCACTTTTCCCACAAGATACAATTAAAAAACTAAAATTTGTTGTCCAGTGATATCAGTGAAATATCTGAACCTTTTCTGAAAATATTAATTAATTTCCATTTTTTTCCCTAAAACTTCAACACTCCGAGTTTTCGTAAGGAAACATTTTTGGACTTATAAAGCATGTAGATTCACACGCTTAAATGTTCGCATATCGTTAAGGAACACCCTTTAAAACCCTTTATGAATTGATGACGGCGTTGTATGGGAAATCCAGAGTCAACCTACTTGACTCGATTTTTTCCAACATTCTGACATTTTTTCTGTCTTAACAACCCTTGCTTTCCGGACTATACGATCTGAAAAACTCGCCAATACCTCGAAGTAGCTCTGAACAACACAAAGTAGGTCGTTTTGCTAAATTCCCTGTGACTGTAATTCGACTTAAGAAATTGAAGGGCTATTGCAAAACTTTCCAAGCTCCTTACCTATGAGAGTTTGAGCCGGACAAGCGGAAAAATTCCAGTGCACGGTAGAGGAAAACCGATTTTCCTTAGCTCCTCATTAGGAAATGTTGCTTCCGTAATGTTTGGAATAAGTTTTAAAAATCAAAGGAAAATCGAGACGAGATAAAGATGCTCGTGCTTATCCTCCTTATTGAAAAAGGTATTCTTGAAACAATGTTGACATTACTGTAGACTGATGATGTTTGGTTCTTTTTGCTTCCCTGGATAATTTCGCGAAGTATTGCGACTGAAAAACGTTTCTAAAATTGGTCTGCCTCTGCCCTTTTGCAACCTGGATAGCGCTCAAATTTTAATGAAATTTTGACTCAACGTTACTAATTTTCCAAAAACGGAAAGGCTGTGCAGTGCTTGGAAGTCGCTTCAATGACGACAGAGCTATGGAAAGGTATTTAGGTATATATTCATATTTGTCTATATATTTTTGTCCATTACTGAATGTATACTAAGTGACATATATACGTAAATCCGAACACCCAGTTTAAATGGTTTTATTTTAATAAAATTTTGTATAAGTACTTAATGAAGCATAATAAGTAAATGATAAAAATTTCAAAATGATTGCACTGCTTTAAAGCCCTTTGACCTTTAATAATGTGTGGATGCACCCTGATGTGCTACGCATCCTCCAACGCGCCTAGGCATGCTTCTGATCAGGTGGTCAATGTCCTCCTGTGGTATCTCATTCCAGGCAACCACCAACTCCTCTCGAAGTGCTTCTAGAGTCTGAGGAGGACGTTGCAAATTGAGCAATCTCCTACCCATCATATCCCACACGTGCTCAATTGGGGATAAGTCGGGAGATCTTGGTGGCTATGGTAACAATGTGACATCATTATGTTGAAAGAAGTCTATTGGGACTCTTGCAACATGTGGTCGGGCATTATCTTGTTGGAAAGTTGGATCTGCCAGGGTGTCAAGATAGGGTAAAAGATGGGGTTCTAGAACTTCGTGGATATAACGCCGCGCGTTCATGTTACCTCTGATGAAGATTAAAGGTGACCAGGAACCATAAGCTATAGCACCCCAAACCATAACTCCAACAGTGTGGTGAACATGTCTTTCAACAAAAAACTGTGGATTCCTCCTTTCACCACGTCGCCTTCTAACCCTGGCACGACAATCGTGCATGCCTAAACAAAATCGAGACTCGTCACTAAAGACAATACTGTTCCATTCCTGACCCCAGAGTGACCGTTGTCTGCACCACTCAAGGCGATTACGTCGGTGTTCTCGAGTTAAAGGGAGGACCCAGTGTGGCCGGTATGAAAACAAGCCCAAACTTCTCATTCGTCGGTAAACGCTTCGCATGCCAATAGGTCTTCCGTGTTCTGCAAACCATTCATTTGCAATGGACCTGGTAGTGGAGAAACGGTCCCTTAAGGCCAATAATCTTAGGCGGCGATCTTCACGGTCTGTTGTTCTACGGCGGCGTCCAGTGCCCCTTGCTCTTTGTGTACGGCCTTCTCGAAGCCATGCCTGACAACACCTAACCACAGTGTCTACACTTCTTTGCACTCTAACTGCAATTGCCCGAAAAGAAAGTCCAGCTTCCCGAAGTCCCACTATACGGCCCCTATCAAACTCACTAAGTTGACGAAATCGTACAGGTCTCCGTACTCTAGGCATCGTAACCGATCGTAAAGGATGTCAAGAACCAAAATCCGCCAACGTTGATTCTTTACTGCGGCTGAAATATTCATTTTTAGAGCGTTAGTGAATTAAAAAAAGCAGAATAAAAACCGGAATTTCCAACTGATGAGGCTGAAAATTGTTTCACTTGTTATTTACAGTAAGATAAATACATTCACCAACTTTTATTAAAATAAAACCATTTAAACTGGGTGTTCGGATTTATATGTCACTTAGTATATATCTTCCCGTATATTTATCTTAGTATGTATTTATGATGTACATGTTTGCAGGTATCCTGTAAACAATAGAATAATTCATACAGTTTCACCATGCTAAAATAATGTGGTCTGCAGAAATACACTTTGAATACGTCTTAAGCCCTGGCGTAATCTAAAAATAGACATAGACATTGATTATATGTAAATATGTATCTGCATGCCTCATACACCATGAGTTAGTCTATAGGATATGGGTTAACGACCAATGGAACATTCGATGGGGTTGAGATAGGCAAACCAGGAAACGTGAATAGCATTAAAACTGAATATATGAGCTGTTAGGACAACTTTTTTATGTACCGTTTCTAGATTCATTGCCTCAGCTTATCCTAAATGAAAGCTAAAGTAATACAAATAGGAGAAATGTCAAAAAACCGTTACCAACCGCATACAACGTTGTTTTGCGAACCACGCAAAGATAAAAGTTGACCGCAAAAAAAATTTTGATTATGCTAACTAAACTGTTCACCTTGATATGGGACAAGTGTACTAACCACTTGCCATAAGCAGGCTGGTTTGTTTGAAACAACAGAGTTTCTTAAACCTCGCAAGAAAATAAAAATAACCAAAACGACCAACTAAAAACTAAAATTTTTTCAATTTAAACGTTTTATCACAATCAAAATGAAATAGAAAGACGAAGAGTACAACAAATAAAGCTTTAACAAACCTAAAATACAAAACTTTTTTTTTAATTTTAAACATTGAAAGACTAAAAACAAAGTTGTCACACATATTCACGCTTAGTGTCATTTAGCATTTGAAATAAATGAAATAAATGAAATACATCTATAAAAAACCACAACCATATGGTTCTGTCATTAAAATACTGAATTTTAAGTTTGAACTATGAAACAATAAAGAAGTTATTGCCATAAATTTTCAGTTAGGGAGCTTAAAAATAATGATGTCTCCTAAAATGTGCTTTCCCGATTGTACAGGGTGGCCGATGTAACTGGTTGATTTATATCTTGAATATTTGTGAATTGAAATAAAATACGTCCATTTTGTCATCCTAATATTTTATTGAAACTTCATCATGTATGAAAAATAATATCGGACAAATGTCCGCCACTAAAAGCCGCACAAACCTGAGTCCTCTTGATTACATTTTCCATCATTTTTTGGTAGGTTTCGGGAGGAACATTTTCAATCGCTTCCGTAACATTGTTCTTCAGCTGCTCTACAGTATTTGGTTTGTTAACCTAAACACTTTTTTTCAAAAATCCTCATATAAAAGTCAGTAGCTCTTAAATCCGGTGACCAAGGTGACCAGGTGACATCATCAAGTCCTTTTTTAAAATAGGGCATAATGACGTGCGACGAATACCCAGTTCTTGAGAACGGTGTCTTGTAGACATCTCAGGGCGCTCCACTACACTTTCGGGAACTATCTCGATATTTTCCGGTATATGAACAGTTCAAACACGGCCCGACCTTGGCAAGTCTTCACTTGTTTGTTCAAATTTCCGTATCAACTGACGAATGGTGTTGACACCGGGCACACTATTTCGACCGAAATCTTGTCAACAACAATCGACTCATTATTTGAGTAACACCTTTTATCAATACGGACGGGATGTGGTTCAAACAACTACTACGGCGCCACCGTATATCAAAAATGGCGCACAATTTACATCGGTCCCTTTTAATCATCAAGAATTACTGTATACATTCCTCCGAGAAAGGAATCCGTTGGAAAAGGTATGACATTGCTTACCAAAATCGAATGAATAATTTATATTATTATTTATATTAAGAAAACCGATTATAAGGAGATAATCGATACTTTTTTAACGTCTCGAACACGTTCAAAATATCATCGAAATAGCAGAGATTATATATATATATATATATATATATATATATATATATATATATATATATATATATAGGTGAAAAATTAAAGCTTCCGCCTTTTGTTGGGTACTTCGACAAAATTTAAGCAAAGAGGACTCTTTATACTTTTTTTAATTCTCTCTAGCTTTCAATGGACTTTGCCATCATCATCAGGAGCTGCAATTACAATGATAACAGTAGCAACAAAAGTGTAAAATGAATTTAAATTGATTTAACTTACAGTAGTATGTGAGGATGTTGCTAATTGTTGTTTACGTATAGGATGAGGGAAACATCCAGTAACATGGTGAGAGCTGGATAGATGGTACAATGGTCAAAATTATATAAAATATGACAAGACAAGTTAAAAACAGATTAAAAATTATTTAGAAAACATTAGAGCATTACATCGTGAAGCCACTTGATGATTGCACAAAATGGTGGTCATGGAATAATGAGTGAGATGAACCTTTGACAGAAGGCCGAAGGTTGTCAATGTCTGTGTTGAAAGATGGAACGAATTGTGGGCGTGTGCCAAACGTTGCCAAATCACTTCAGATGATGTGATTTTCAGAATGTTATGTAAGAAATTGTTAAACCGACCAGAGGCAATTGAATAAACTATATTTTAATTTATGGGAATTTAAATTGACAATTATTAATAAATCGTGAGAAGAGAATTATTAGATTTTGAGTGGAATGAAATTTGTTGGTGGAATCGGCCAAAACACAGATTATATTTATGGTTAATGACCACGTCTCAAGTTATATATATATTATCAACTATGTACTATGTTTAAAAATGGAATAAAACTTTGTTAACGAGCGGTCATTCCTCTTGTTCCAGGAAATACAAAGCCATGCACCGATCAGTCAAACTGCACGTACATCAAAGATACAACATGCCTGAAAGGATTCTGCTACTGCGGCGACAACACGCATCCTGTCAACGGGCGTTGTAAAACTACAGAGAAAGGTAATTTCTACATTATGTACTATTGTAGCAGATCAAGTAAAATCTGCTTACACCACATATTTATACTAGTGACATCGTTGCCGACTTTTCTTTAATCAAGTCATAATATGGAAGAGTGTAACAGCACGCACATGGTATGTAGAACGGTTTTTATTTTTTTACAAAAAAATGGCGCATCGAAGAAAAGCAATTCAAGTGAGATCATTAGTTTTAAAATGGGGAATTTAAAAATAATTTTTATTTTGGCTATAAACCATTGGCGTACCATTTTTTTCTTAAAGAATATTGAAGCCAATGCCCGTACGCACGCAACTGTTAAACCTGAAAATTTTTGCATTGAAAAATATGCAACCTTATTAACTTTCACTACGTACTAAATATCAGTGAAATATCTGAAGCGGTTCTGAAAATATTAATCAATTTCCATTTTTTTCATAAAATTTCAACACCCCGAGTTTTTGTAAGAAAACATTTTTTTACCATACCCTGTATAAAAAAATATTGAATATCAGCACCGGTTGCCCTGGTTTTAGGTACATAAAATAATTCACAATTATTTTGACATTGTTCAAGCAAAATTAGAGGATACACGTTTGAGAAAAAAGCACTTCTATTTTTTCGGGTCATCCTAGTGTATGTACAGTGTGTTTGAATTTATTGATGTCTAAACATCGTATGCTGCTTGTTTGTTCCTAACGAATCCAATGCATAATTTTTGTCTTCGAGAAAGTTCAGACTGGTGCACTAGGCATCCGGAATTTCCAGTTTGCTAACTTGGCCCGTTCTAAAATAAATGGGGGACCTGTTTTTTTTAAAAAGTGAGTACTCACAAACCCAAATTGGTGAGTTTCGTCCTCACGTTCACAAAGACACATCACATTGTCAGTGGCATACGATAAGTTATGCTACTCTTTCCAGTCTTGATATATGCTTGTCGTGAAGAATGGAAATTTTGCTGTTTACGAGGGTTGTTTCAAAAATACGGTTCGCACATTTTTTTCAAGCACAAGGAATTTTTTATTTGAAAAACGTTTCCCATATACAAACTGACGACGAATTTCTGTGGGTGGTAACGTTGGTAAGACTATACTTGCGCATATCGCAAATACTTCATTTCTTACTTAAAAATGAAAGATTAGGATGTAACTTTTATATAAGGATGTAATCCTTGCATTCTTGTCATTCTTCCTATCTAAAATTATTATTTTTAGGATAACTATCAAATAGGTATTCATAAATTTTTCTTACTATTGATCGAGGTATAACCATAATTTCTGAAACATTTCGTATGCTTATTTGAGGACTATTTTCAAACATATGTAAAGCAATATCCATACGGTGATTTCCCAATGGCCTTCCTGAGCCCTGCATGCGCAGAAAACTTCCATGGTTTGACAAATTCCGGTGAATACCAGTAAACATTCGACGTCCAGGTACTATGCGATTGCAAAGCCCGTACACAAAATGCATGTCGGTCAGTTCTCTGTCTGTAAATCTTGGCATTTTAAATCGATTTAATAAAGATTTTGATTTTAATCTAGTAATTTTACACTGCTAACAATGTCAGCTTAACGTCAAAATAAGTCATAACAAATCAAAACAACTTTTGTTTGCAGTCATGGCTAACTATGTAATGTATAATCAACAATTCATTTAAATTCGCAGTACATTCCCTATCATGTGACCAATTTTTTAGTCTGATGTTATTCAAAAATGGCACAATTTATCGATATTCAATAAGAGTACCTTTTTTATGTAGAAAACAATAAATTTTCAAATTTTAAAATTAAATTTCAAAAATAGAATCATACAAAAATGTTGGGGCTAAAATAACCTGAGTCCGTCCCTGTTTCATACGCTTCCAAACAAAACTGTCTAAAATTGTTAATATTTTTAAATCCAGCATAAAAAACTAGTCTAGAATACCAAATGTTATGTCTTTATCTCAACACGTTTCGGAAATATTAAGGAAAAACCATCTTCAGCGGAGCCCCTTTAAAAGACCGTAGCGCCCTTAGGGGACGTTTGTCGACCTATGTCTATATAAACTTTTCTTCCTATTTTAAGCTCTAGAAACCGCTGGTAGAATATTGCACACTTTTTTTGGGACACCCTGTATATATATATATATATAACTTGAGACGTGGTCATTGTCGTCTAGACCAGTTAGGTGAAAAATTAAAGCTTCCGCCTTTTGTTGGGTACTTCGACAAAATTTAAGCAAAGAGGACTCTTTATACTTTTTTAATTCTCTCTAGCTTTCAATGGACTTTGCCATCATCATCAGGAGCTGCAATTACAATGATAACAGTAGCAACAAAAGTGTATATATATATATAAATATATATATCACATTTAATTATTTACATTTTGTAACATTAGCTTCACTTTAAATAATTCTTCAAGTACATACATACAAAAAGTGAATAGATTATAACTATAATATAGGAAAAACAATAACCGAAGTACTTTTCAAATACTTAACAATGAACTATTTTCATCATTAAAATAATGCAAAATTGCATTATTGCGATGAACAGTATCACAGTAACTTACAGTGTATGTTATATTCATATAATTTTGAACAATCTTTTGTATAAACAAGAAGAAAAACAGCTTATAAAGCAGTATTCTATACCACAGCATTAGCACCCAAAATGCAACTTTGAGGTTCTATAAAATAGCAAGCAGAGGGTTCCTTAAAGAAAAAATGATATTTTCGTGCAAGTTACATACTAATCTTTCATTTTGAAATAAGAAATGAGATATTTTCGATATGCGCTAAAGTATAGTTTAGCTGTCAAGTTTTTGTGTGCAAAAATCGGAAAACCGCGCAAATTTCGGTGGATGTCAGGCCGGTACTGAGCATCGCCAATAGGCGCTTCTTGTTGGGACCGGTGGTGGGTGACCCGACAAACACGCCGGTGTTGCCAGATTCCGCCTCGCATCACGCGCGGCGTTAAAAACCTTATTTTTCAGACAGCCCCCGTATTTCAAACAATTGTCTTTTCAGGACAAAGTCACATCTGCCAAAAAGAAGAAGAGTGCGTCGAAGGAGCTTTGTGCATAGTAAGACCGAAGGAATTCCAAACGTCATCGACTGCATACTTGAACAACTACACGGTCTGTTGGTGTGAAGACGGAGTTGCTTTTCCTAATGGAAAGTGTGCGGGTGAGTTACCTTTTTTATAATTACAAACTACAAACGTTCTGACAAATTGGTTTAGGCTTTCGCGGTCAGTCTTGATTCGGGTCCAAATGGCCGGAACGTAACTGTGAATGGCGAGCGCTACCGTGCGATGATAACAAACCTTTTTTTGCCCAAAATGCAAGAGCTGGACTTGGCTGACATGTGGTCTCAACAAGACGGTGCCACATGCCACACCGCACACGAAACAATGGCCCTATTGAGAGGCGAGTTCGGTGAACAGTTTATCTCACGTTTGGGACCCGTCAATTGGCCGCCTAGATCGTGCGATTTAACGCCGTTGGACTATTTCTTGTGGGGCCATGTCTACATCGATAAACCAGCAACGATTGACGCACTGGAAGCCAATATTGAATTGGACCTTGCGCATGGGCCATCTAAAGCGGAGCCGCGGCCCAAATTTACATGAAATAATCTTTAAACATTAAATTATATCGACCGTTCTATCGGCTCAAATAAAGATTTAATCGTTTTTTCAAATGTTTTGTGTTTTTTTTTTGAAAATCAAATCCTATACCTCTTAAAAAATCACCCGTTATATTTACATGAAGATTTATTTTCCCAATATAAACTACTATGCACTTTTTTGCATTCTTTGGATAGCAAGTACGTTTTTTTTTAATTTCCACCTCTTCATCTGCATTTGGACTGTTTTCACTCGTATTGTCGATACAATCTCCATAATACCCAACCTGACACTCCCACTTGCATAAATTAGTCTTACGCTGTTCCCGCGAGCGCCCCTAAAAAATACAAAGCGCACTTAGAGATGCAAGTAAACACGTAAACGCCGAATCCGAGAGCCCTGTTTACGAACTAACACCACCCGCGAACGTTCGAATCGCCCGGTATGACATTAGAAATTCTAACGAGCGCGGTGTTGGTTCGCGCACCGCACAAAAGTAGCATTTCGCGAGGCTTGCTAGCAGAAAATCAATGCGGAGATACAGATCTCTATGCAGTACTAACATAATGTTACAATGCTACGGAAAGCGGTCACTCCATTTATATACAGGGTGTTTCAGTTTATTGTTATAGTATAACTTTAAGATTGGATAGAACTTTTAAAATTAATGCATAAAGTCTATATAAACATGTGTCGAAAAATGCGTGGCTTCCGAAATACAGGGTGTTTAAATTTACTTTCTAAAATAGTTCTACTGTAGTCGCTAGAGGGCGCTCTCTGCTGTACCTCGAGTGTATTAAAATGACCGAAAAATTTTTCTTAGTGCAATTTTTTGCTTTTTGAATAAAAAACTGATTCTTCGTACTTTTCAACATAAAAAAGCTCTCTTGTGAATTTTCATTATATGTTAGTTAGCCGTTTTTGAGATATTTCGATTTTTAAGGTTCGATGCATTTTTAATTACTTATTATAAAATAACGTTAAAAAGTCAGTATCTCGATAATTTTTAGAAGTAGGCTGTGCCTGCAAATATTTTTGAAATTGAAAGCAGAATAAGGTTAAATGTCAATTAGTTGACAGTTAGTTTTGTTGTCTGTTGAAACCTGAAACTCACAGGAGAGCTTTTTTATGTTGAAAAGTGCGAAGAATCAGTTTTTTATTCAAAAAGCAAAAAATTGCACTAAGAACATTTTTTCGGTCATTTTAATATACTACAGGTACACTAGAGAGCGCCCTCTAGCGGCTACAGTAAAACTATGCCCATGGTTTGTTATGTCGTACCAAAAAACCCTTGCATACCAATTTTCACTATTATACATCAAATATTGTTCGAAATATTTAAAAAAAAACTATTTTAGAAAGTAAATTTAAACACCCTGTATTTCGGAAGCCACGCATTTTTCGACCCATGTTTATATAGACTTTATGCATTAATTTTAAAAGTTCTATCGAATCTTAAAGTTATGCAACAATAAACTGAAACACCCTATAGTTCTTACCGTACGCGTCGCTCAAGCCTTGCGCTATGGAGATTAACTTTTCTTTCGCTTTGCACTATTTTAAAAGCTCTCTTATTGTCAATGAAGAGTAGGCGTGGATATTTACACTTTCCAATGAAGTGGAACAAATCGCCGAAGAAGTCACAATTGAGTTTTAAGTAGTTCTGGTGCGCTGTTTTGTAAAATGTGCTGCGTTTTTCCAAGGCAGCTTTAGTTTTCGAGATTTGCGACTATGCACAACGGGTTGAATTTTGTGAGAATCTGTTGAGAAGGTGAAACTTTTTCCGACAGCATCTTATGGACAGATGAATCCAACTTCAACCGAAATCGAATATTCAACATGCACAATTTCCATTCATGGAGCGTGGAAAATCCACACGCTATTCGCCGACACAGCGGCGTTAATTTACCCAACAAAAAATTAATCGGACCATATGAATTGCCCGCCAGGTTGAATGGTTAGTCATATCTTGCTTTTCTACAGTATATTCAGATAAGAGATAGACCGGATGTAAACAAAAGGTTCGGGTGATTTTCACGCTAACGCCGCCGTCTCGACGTAAAACAGGAGCCCTCATTGGTCAATTCGCAATTAAATGCCTATGCCGAGCGGCAGAGCAGTCGTATCAAGGCAGAGTCACATTCAGGTTCAGACGTGTTACGTATGTCGTGTGCATCATTGCAATTTGATATTTCTTTGGACGTTTTCGTTTGTTATCTTATTAAGTTGTTGAGTTTGTCGTTGTTATTGTTATACCTTGTTATTGATTGTTATTGTTATCAACTGCTTGCGCAAAATGCCCAGTAGTACAGATACTGCCGATGAAGTTGTAAACTCCTGTAGTCCGCCTAGGAAACGCTCTAAAAAAAGACACCTGAGTGCAGAAATGAAAGAGGTCATTTTGAATATATATGTAAGATCGAGCGCGAGGAGAACGAGGCATCAACCATCAAAGAAATTGTTGTGAAGGTTTCTCACAAAGTTGGGGTGTGTCGCGCATCAGTTTTTAATGTGTTAAGACAATACAAAAAAAATCACACCTTTTCTGAGCCAATGACCAGTAAACATCGCAAAAGTATTGTTAAATCATTGGATGAAGCTGATAAGCATGCGATTAGGAGGAAAGTGCATGAATTCTTCTTTAGGAATGAAATACCTACTATAGATAAAGTACTGCAGGAGGTAAATGGAGATACAACGTTGCCAAATTTCAAACGATCAACTTTCCATGCGTTAATGAAGCATTTAAATTTCAAATGGAAAAAACGGGGTCGTAATAGTTTACTACTGGATAGAGAAGAAATTGTGCTATGGAAGAGGGATTATTTAACAAAAATTGGGAAATATAGAAATCAAAACAGGAAGATTTATTACCTTGATGAAACGTGGGTAAACGCAGGACACACTACAAGTAAAGTATGGGTTGATGATTCTGTAACTTCATCCAGGAGGGCCTTTCTAGATGGACTGTCCACTGGATTAAAAAATCCAGCAGGTAAATATGAGTAATAGACAACAATCGGATGTTTTTCAAACCTTGGGAACAAGGTTCTAAACATTAATTCCAGGGGGCAGATAAAACATATTACAAGTAACAAAACTTTTATAACTTTCGATAAAATGCGTGGATGTTTTATTGTCATTTTCATTTGTTAGAACTTTTTTAAGCCATGTTTTTATGTGTTTTCGATATTTCAATAATTTTTTAATATAATCTTAAAATATGTCGAATATTATAAACTTAAAAAAAGTTACTAAGTTTTATATTGTGTACCGTTCCTAATATTTCTAATCATTTTAATTCATACTTTAAGCTTTATAAAGTTATAATTTGTTAATATTAATATTTGCGCGTATTTCAGGTTCCTGATCATTCATTTTTTAAGGGTTTATAACTTTAAATTAAATTGTGAAGCGCTGAGTAATCATACGACGTTGAATATTCTTTCTTTCAATATGACTAAATAATCCCAATAATCCCAATTATAGCAATCTGATACTCATGTCTCAATGTTTTTTCGCTGAATGTGATGAAAACATTTGAAAAAGGTTCGCTTATTGAAATAAATCTACACCAGTTAGTACTTCGATTTCCAGGTAAAGGGAAAAGGCTCATTATCTGCCATATTGGCAGTGAGGATGGATTTGTTGTTGACGGTCTGTGGTGCTTTGAGTCTAAGAAAACTGGAGATTACCACGAGGAAATGAATGGCGAATCGTTTGAACAGTGGTTTTCAAAAATTTTACCGAACTTAGAGGAAAACGCAGTAATTGTGTTGGATAATGCGCCTTATCATTCTCGAAGAATGGAGAAGGTCCCAACAACGGCTTCAAGGAAAGTTGATGTTCAAAATTGGCTCCGCTCGAAAAATATCAACTTTGAAGAAGCAATGCTGAAAGTACAATTATTAAGAATTGTCAAGGATCACAAGGCGGAATATCAAAAATACGCCATTGACGAAATGGCAGCAAGTCAAAATAAAACTGTGCTCCGTTTACCTCCATACCATTGCGAGCTCAATCCCATTGAGCTCATATGGGCAGAGGTTAAAAATTATATAGCTAAGCACAATACAACTTTTAAATTTTGTGACCTCAAAGGACTTTTCAAAGAAGCACTAGAATTAATAACAGCGCAAAAATGGGAAAACTGTATTAAGCACGTGAAAGACAAAGTTGAAAAGAGAATGTGGGAACTGGACAATATTTTAGAGGAACAAGTCGAGCCATTCATTATTGACGTTGGTGCTTCAGGCAGTAGCGATGATGAAAGCTCATCAAGCTCATCTTTCCAATAAAAGATGTCGTTCATCAAATTCGGTAAGTTATAAGTAATTATAAAGCTACTGTATTTTTTAATTAATTATTGACATTTTTGAACCCATTTTGGCAAAACCTATTCAAGAATCTACTTTCTGACAATGTTCAACCATGCACATTTTTTACGTTTTGAACGTTTTAATTTGGTTACATATTTACCTAGAAATCAAAAAATATGCTAATCAATATTCTAAAAGCAATTTTAAGATATATACGATTATTTTTAATTTAGGCTAATTTAAACGCCATTTTGAGATT